CCTCCTAGTCGGCGCTCAACAGTACATTTTCACTGCATTACCAACTTAAAAGAGATTGTCCAATTTTACATCAAAGAGAACGAATCGTTCAAGGATTCTAAAAGATGGAAATACATAGTGGGTCTTTCTGCATTTGCTTTCATCATGTTTGCAAGGCTGGGTGCTTCTTTTGAGCTACTTTATCTGATCGATTCACCATTTTGTTTCAATCCAATCAAACTAAGCCTGTTTGAAACTTTGAAAGCAGTATTGTCTGAAGTCATTGTTTTAGTTGGAATAAAACTGATGCAGCAATGTTTAAGAGATGAAATTACTGCATTCATTGGCAGCATTTCCTGTGTAGCTTATTACATCTTATTTGGATTGGCCCCATCTGAGAAATACCTTTACATAGGTAAGACTTTGTCTGCATTTCTTTTTTTTAATGAATAGTGATGTGAACACTGTTACAACATTATATTAGTTATAATTTCCTTTCTAGCTGCTGCAGTTGGTGCTGTTGGCATGTGCTCCATTCCAATGATCAGGGCGGTGATGTCAAAGATGACACCTGTAAACAAACAAGGTAATATTGAACTATGAGACCACAAAAGGTTATTTCCATGAAAAAGAAATATTCAATAACCAGTGTTGTACATGTATTTTATGAACTCTGTTACAGCGACTTTGTATGTAATTTATTTTTCTGGTTGTAGGTACACTCTTTGGAAGTATAGCTATTATAGAGAACATATGTAACCTGTTTGGCTCTGTACTTGGGACAGCTATATATTCTGCAACAGTTTACTATAATCGAGGGATGGCCTTTCTGGTCCTAGCTGGATTCATGTCCCTAGCATTCATTCTACTGCTGTGAGTAAAATTATGTTCTTTAACAACATTTTCAACTGATTATAAAGTTTGAGAAAATTGTAGTGGCATATTTTGTAACTTTTAATCACATTCTTTATGAGATATAACCCTCCAGGTTAACTGTAGTGATTAATGTAAAGAAAATAAAATAATGACAATGTTTTCTTAACTATTTGTTTAACTTTTCCAGAAAAAAAAAACAATTTTTAGAATAATAATTGTATTTATGTATTGAATGCGATAACTTAGTTGGAGGTTTCCGGGAGGATTGATTTTAGTAAATTGTGAAAATTCTTAGATCAACGCCTTGGTTGATGGATTACATGTAATAGAAGGTGTAAGGTCACGTGGTCAGCTCAGCGAGTCATTCAGTTGTATTGTGATAACCCGGATGCTGACCACGCTAACATCAGGCACGTTTATTTTGAAGACCCTCCTCCACCCCTGCATTCCTACCCCTTAAAATGGGTATTAATATGTCATGTAAAATCATATATTTGATTCGTTCTGACTCGATTTGTTTAAACTATTTTTATGTACGCCTATTTTGTTTTGATGTGCCATCTTTTTGCTAACTTTTTCAAATGATGTTTTGATTGTCTTGTCTTACAGATACTTTTTTCAAGTCAGTTTTGGGGGATCAGACATTATCATATTTTACGTAACTGCTAATCAAAGCTTGTGAATCTGATCCCCGTCTTGTTTGTTAGATTGTTCACATTTATACCGTCATTTTAATAAATGACATTATTCATCTCTATGAAAGTCTTTTATTTGACTTGTACAAAATTAGCAAAAACAAGCTGCGGTGAGCTTGCCTATAAGCATAGGAATACATAAAGTCTTTTCTTCATGTTAAAATTTCAATTCAATGACTGCTTTCTGAAAGTACAAATGATATAAAGATTATATTTTCTATTTTATAGAATTCTGGTTATTTGTGGCCGTGGACAGAGAGATAAAGATGACTATGAATCCATTCCAACAAGTAAAAATATAAACTGATTTCAAGTTTATTCTTTAAAGGTAATAAGTAGAATATCTTGACTGAAGGTGCATTAATCTTTCTACGAGGCAGTTTTGGCTTCCTCGTCCCTAATTTACATTTCATTTGCCTTTCTAATATAACTGCTCAGTAAAATTTAAGACTGAGATAAGCACCAGACAGGCTTATTTCTAACTGAGAATTTTATGTAGAATTTTATTCTAATCAGGTTGTGTTGACTTCTCATATTGTAAATAAAAGCAACTGACACCACTGATACAATTTTTGAGAAAATGAAATTCTTTTAAGCAACCACTGTAGATTTGAAAATTTTACATTATGACACTTTTATTATAAAAGTATTAATTCCTTTTTGAGCTCATGTTTGTGATTTTTTTTATTTTATTGAATTTTATTTTTATTTATTTTATTTAATATTTTGAATGAATCTCTAATTATTCACCATTTTAGGTTAAAAAAATTAATAGTTCTATTTTCTACTTTCATTTTTTTTTTTATCTTTCTGTAAATATGTTTTATACAGGACCACAATGTAAACTATCTAGCAATCGGTTACTAATTGTGCTATCACGTTCAAATTAAAGAATTTATTATTATTTTTACATTTGAAAATATTCCGTGGAAACTCTATACATTTGTTTTTTTCAATCAGATATTTTTCTTCTCATTTTTCTAATTACATGTGTACCAATTATATAACTTGTGATTATCAGTGATAATAATTATCCTTTCTTCATGTATGTCAAAGCAATTTTACTTGTACATGTTCATTTTTATTTCACTTATATTGTCAGTTTTACAAAGGAACATATTACATGAATGTCTATCAGAAGAGAAATGCTATAATATTCAAACAGTTGAAACTTGACATAATTTCAAATAACTTATTGAATGTTTAAATTTCATGTCCCTTCAGGTGGTGGCTGAACTAATTTTTTTTTCTTTTTAACTCAATATATATATAAATAATTATGTAATAATGTTTTTTGAAAGAGAGAGATTACTTGTCAGCAATATGTAGTACAACATAGTTGTGGATATCTTTAATTTTTATCAAAGAATTGAGAGTGCTGAGGATTTTAAGTCTACGAATGATTTATACCATTTTCAAAAAGTATTGATTTAAATTTAAATTCTCGTGTGAACTATGATCAGCTGAAATAATTGTGAAACTTTATTTTTTATGCCCCTGCAATCAAAGATGTAATGACAAATAGTTTTTGTAAAAATGGGTCATACTCAAAGTTCAAGAGGTCAAATTTGGTGGTTCCCGAAGCAAGGTTTTGTCACAAACTTCTAAATTTTTTAGTTAATGTTAATGTGGGACTCTGTCTTACCTAAAGACACCATCCACTGAGGTGAGATTTGTAATCTCTGATTACCTCTGTTTTTAACATTTAAATCTGTCATTGCAATTGTAAGAGTTGTGACTTTATGTATACTATATGTACATGTATTTGTTTTTTATTTCCATTTCCTTGTCTGAAGAAAGTCATTTTACTTTTGAATAAACTTATTTATGCAGACCTTATTTCTTAATATTTTTGTCAAAATTTAATAGCCATTCTCTGTAAACACTTAAACTTCGTTGCCACGCGTGGTCACCGATTTTGATGAAACTCCCCCATTCTTAGTACTTGACACTAGAAACCTATATCAAATAAATTTTTGTTGCTATGCATCTCAGTCATCAAGGTCTTCAACTTTAGGAAACAATCATTACCAATTGTGTGCTTTGCTGCAAATATTAGCGATGAGGCTCTAAACATGTTAAAAAATGCCATTTTTCAATCTTTAAGACATGTTATCATGGTAACTACAACACATAGCCAACGACTTTTGTCCGATTTTAGTTAAGGGTATCAAAGGCTTTTATCATAGAGAGTTTGGAGAAATTCTGAGACTATGCGTTCGAAAGCTCCTATATAAAATTTCAAGTCATTACAGAGAATGGCTCCAAATCTGTCATGCAAAAGAATTCGAAATCAAAGAAGGGTATCCAGTAAATTCCTTGAGAGAGGGCCATCACTTTGGCAAGTTTTAATAGGGTTCATCAAATAAATCGAGCTACACTTTTCGAGAAGAATAAAATTAAAATTGAACAAAATATTCTCAGGAATAGAGTATTTAACTTTCCCAAAATTGTTTGCTTGTGTCTGTTAATAATCATGAAATATGGAGATTACGAACAGTATTCAAGCTCAATAGTTCATTCAAACAACAAAAATCTTGAGCAGAGTAAACGCGGACCTCTAAAACATCAGAGGTGGGATCAGGTGCCATTGAGGAGTAAGCAAACTCGCCTTATGTTCATTGTCATGATCGGGAAATAACGGGAAAATCCGTATACGATTCATTTTAAATATTATTTAAATGATGGTCTAACAATTTGTTTGTAAGCCGTTAGTCAGCTTTTGACTTTATGATAGATTGTATTTGCTGACAAGATCATTGAATTAACCATAAAACTTGCAAACTGAAGACTATAATCGAGACTGTATTCGTGTCGACCATAGAAATGGATTTAAAACATCCAATACTGCAATACGCAAACAGTAAAAATTAAACAAATGCCTGCATTAAATGTGATTTATGCTCTATCCATCTGATGACAACAACTCCCATTTCTTACATATACATGTACTGGGCTTCTCATTACCTTTATAAAAAAAAATAATGATACAAACACCAATGTAAGCTATCAAAAAAGTTTAATTTTGTAAATTTTACTTCAAGTTTATATTGAAGGATCAATTGATTTTACTTTCAATAAATAGTACAAATAACCATATATTTTAATTTTAAAGAGTACAGATATTATATAAATATTGTACTTAACTTGCACAGTGTTTTCTTCTGTGAAGCAGGGTTTTTTTTTTTTTCGTTTCACATAAAGATAAACAAACAATTATTCAGACATACGTTATTTATTCTCGATATCGTTTGTCCAAAAGGATCAAGGATAGGTTGTTTTGACCATCGTCCTGGTTTAATAAACAGGTACCTTGATAAAGCACCTAGAGATGATATCCACTCGGTATATTTTTATAAATACAGTAAGTCAGTAATCCTCACCATCTCCGAAGTCTCAAACCGTTGACATTGTGAAGATGACTAAGAGTATGATGACTTATTTTACAAGATGACAACTGAATCCGACACCAGAGATGGCAATTTACGAGTATATAGTTTCTTGTGTGCTGCTGACTTTTGTCTGTTTTTCTCCTATGTATTATGCCTAGACACGGCTAACGAGTACGGTCGCGACCAATTCCGGGAACTAAAATTCCCTAATAGAAGCCTTTTCAATATCAGTGATGATTCGTTCTGTGAAACTAATACCTCGTCACAAAGGTACGAGGAAAGGAAAACTGTTCAGAAGTTAGTGTCAGAATGGGATGTGTACATATCAATAGCCCAGGGAGTCCAGCTTATTCTGTCCAGTATGTTGTTTTCACCACTGAGTGATTCCATTGGGAGAAGGTCATTTCTTTTCGCTGGATCGCTTGGTATTTGTGTTAAGCAACTTCTAATGACCCTTGCTATCTTTTTTTTACTGGGATATTTATCTTTTTATTCCATTTGCTTTGGTAGAAGGTTTCAGTGGAAGCTGGTTTGCTCAGCTGGTCATAGCTATGACGGTTGTTTCTGACCTAACCAAAGCAGGAAAATCCAGATCCTATTTAATCACTGTGTTCAGTTTTATGTACAGTGTTGGATTTTCTTTGGGAACATTTAGTTCTGCCTATGTGGTTGCGTATTGGGGATACGAACACTCTATGGCAATCCCCTGTTGATTGTCGGCCTTTGCATTCATCATCACGTGCTTTATTCCTGAAACATTGCTCAAATCGCAAAAAAAGAAAAATAACTTCAGTTGCCTTGGAAACTTTAAAAAGATTTTGAAACTATATTTCAAAGAGGACCCGAATTATTCAGAGTTGACAAGGCGGAAATATCTTACTGCTATCTCTTCTTTTATATTCATTATGTTGGCAAAACATGGTGCATTTGCTGTAGAATCATTATATATCAGGGATTCTCCATTTTGCTTCAACCCCAAAACAGTCACTTTATTTGAAACATTGAAAACCATCTTTTCCGAGGCTGGGATTTTAATTGTTATAAAACTATTGCATAGATGTATCTCAGATGAGAGCATTTCATTTATTGGGGCTATTTCAGGCATTTGCTGTTTTGTTTTATATGGAATAGCTTCTTCAAAAAAGGACGTGTATACACGTTAGTAATACGAAAGCGAAAACTTATTCATGTATATTACAAAAATATAGGATCTTCCATGATTTGTAGTTGAATATAATGAAGGAGTTGTGTGTCTTTATCCCCGAGCCTTGGCGAGCCTCCCAAGACTCATGGGAGATTCTTTTTATCCCATGTTAAATACTTCACAGCCAGGCCAGAAAAGCTGAAACTTATGTGGAAGCATCCTGGGGTAGTGAAGATTCTAAATTGGTAAAATCATGACCCCTGGGGGCAGGGCGGGGCCACAATGGGGAAACAAAGTTTTACATAGAAGTATATAGGAAAAATCTTTGAAAATCTTCTTCTCAAGAGCCAGTTGGCCAGAAAAGCTGAAACTTACGTGGAAGCATCCTGGGGAAGTGTAAATTCTAAATTTTTCAAATCATGACCCCCAGGGGTAGGAAGGGGCCACAATGGGGATCAAAGTTTTACATAGAAAAATATAGGAAAAATCTTTGAAAATCTTCTTCTCAAGCACCACTTGGCCAGAAAAGCTGAAACTTATGTGGAAGCCTCCTGGGGTAGTGTAGATTCTAAAATGTTCAAATCATGATCCCAGGGATAGGGTGGGGCCACAATGGGGAATCAAAGTTCTACATAGAAATATATAGAAAAAATATTTGAAAAATTTCTACTCAAAAAATCTTCTACTCAAGAACCACTGGGCCAGAAAAGCTGAAACTTATGTGGAAGCAGTCTGGGGTAGTGTAGATTCTAAATTGTTCAAATCATGACCACAGAGGTTGGGCGGGGTCACAATGGGGAATCAAAGTTTTACAATGGTGAATCAAAGCATCCTATGGTAGTGTAGATTTCAAAATATCTAAATTATGGTCAGTGGGGTAGGGTGGGGTTACAATATGTATTACAAGGGGGAAATCTGGTTAAGAACGGAGTGGTCAAAGCTTCTCAGGTGAGCGATGTGGCGCATGGACATCTTGTTATATTTTGTTTTGTTTTGTGTTTGTTTTTTTTTTTTAAATTTAGATTTAAGAAAGAACGTTCGTTTCAGAATGTATGGTGCTTGCGAAGGGCGAATGTTGTCCCATTTTTGACACTGTTTAGATCTGAATATATGCATTCTGTTTATTTGACATTTTTTGCATAACTCATTGAATAATTTTGTAAACTTAAAAAATTGGTATTGTCAATTACACTTTGTGTAGAAATATTTATTTTGATTTCTCATTTATTTATTAATAAATGTTCATTCAAATTTTAACCCTGCATTTTCATTTGTGTCAAACAGAGCACAACCAAATCAGGTATCCATAAAAAAATTATCTTTGTTTTAATTATAAATTAATTAAAAATAATTTATATAAATTAACTGCAAAAATCAGTGTTATGAACTTGCCTGAAATTAAAGTCTAATGTAATTTAACTGAATATATTCCGGGTACGTGTTCATTGGCACAGAATGTTAAACAGCGAGTTCTTGATGCACGTAAAACTTTAATCAAAATATTAGAAATCTTGTAATCATTAAGTGCTAATACAGATTATTCATATTAAGGATCGTATGATCGTTTAATATTAAAACAGATTAGTTATATTAAAAATAGTGTGAGCATTTTATGCCATATTAATTCAATCGTCTTTGGATTCCCTCTGATACTATATACAATATATCCTCTGATCACTGAAATTAATTTAAAACACTTCAAATGCTAAAACATGAAACATTAGAGAAATCTTTATCGATATAAATATTTGAATTGGAATGATCTTTTATGGATTATCAATAATTGACATTCCTTTTTAGCAGTTTTTAAAATTTATAAAAAAAATAAAGGAAAATAGACGATCAAGTGTTGAGTGTTTATTGAAATAATGAAGACGTAGGGACCTGCAAGTGGAGATCATTTATATGGACGCCATAGCTATCTATGATTGAGCTTCATGCCAGTTAGAATAAAAGGAAAACTGATTGAACGTTTGTTTTGAATTCTTTTAAAGGAAGCCTTTTTGCTTTTATGATCATTTTAGGTAGGTTTGCATCAATTTTTTAAAAAAAAGTGATTATATGATTTTATGAAAAAAAAATCCTTAATATACCACATTATAAAACATTCCCATATGATATTTTGTGCACTTTTGCACCCAGAATCGCTTTTCTTTTATCGTTGAATTTTAATTTTTTGTCAGCAGGGGATGCTCACTCTTCCATGGCACCTGATCCCACCTCTGATGTTTTGGAGGTCCGTGTTTGCTCTGCTCCTATTTTGTATTGTTGTTTTAGGAGTCAAGTCTACAAAGTTCTCAATTACATAATTATGTTTTCTAGTGCAGCACGGCATTGTTTAAATGTCTTGTTATAACACTTGTTCGCAATTATTCAAAACAACCTTAAAAGTATTGCCGATCGATGTTCTTTAGAATAATAATTCTGATGATTTTTCAAATGATAAAAGCCATAAGAAATAGGCATCAGTTATGATAATTGCATCACGTTTAAAGCTAATATATACATTTGTTTCTGTATATTAGGTTATGTTATTATCTTGTTAATTAGAGGAATCTTGATTTCAACATACTACATCCAATACCACCCAGCTTACACGTATTGTACATGTTACCCATTTGGGGAAAAGAAACTACAACACAATATAAAGGTGTATTTTATTTTATTAATCTAATAATATTTACTGAATTTAATACGTTCTGCAACTTTAGAATTAAATACTTTGAAATATTTTGAACCTTAAAAATCATGTAAGCAAATAAATAAAAAAATTTTTTTAAAAATATGTGCCAAAGGTGATTTTTTTAATCAGACTAAAATCTAAATAAGTTCAATTTCGATCTTATTGTTCGATATGGATTGTACGATGCAACACCAGAATTAATACATTCTAAAAGCCTTTTGTAATAGTATCTTCCAGCAAATGTTGTTTTGATACAAGGTAGAATGCTGTCACTCGTTTGTGGTTGATCTGAAATATAGCAGAATTATTATTGCATTTCTATTTCTCTCATCAATGTATAAGAAATAATAACACCGTAAAATAATTTTTATTTGGAAAATCTTATGGTTTTCTTTTATATTGAGAAACCCGAGATTTTACATAGATATATATGTATATAGTACACATTTTGTTTAAACTTAAGATTTAATTCTTAATTTCAATTTATTCATGTCATTTGCCAATATTATTTACTATGTTACTATAATGACAATTGTACTAAGTATATCAATTTTACTAACACCAGGAGTTATTGTAAGAACTTGTTAATCTGATTCTTTTGTGGAAAACAATAGAATATGTTCAAATGAAATCAAATGTTTAAATTTCATTTTGCAGTAAGATGCTTCTTTTGCTATTCACAAATTAATGTCATGAAAATAAATGACTTTACAGTTTCCAGCTCACACTGATATAAGCTGATATTTTAACTCCCGGTTTGATCCTTTGTTTTTAATAAAAAAAAAAAAAAAAAAAAAGATAGCTTTAACTTGATGTTCTTTATCAAAGACCTTTTTAACATTCTGTTTATAAAGTAATTCATACGTAAAATATAAAAAAAAACGAACAAAAATTGCATTTATATTGTTGAACTAATTCATAATTTATGATTCATCATTCAAAAAATTTGTTTTCTCTTTTTTATCGATGAAATTACGTTACCTTTAGGATATGGAACGAAATAATATGTTTCAATATTCCCACAGCAAAACATTGAAACAAAAAGAAAGAAGAAAACAATCATCATGCCTGTAAAATGTTGATCCCAGAAGGTTGTACTCACTCACTGTAGTGATCATAAGCAAATGCAGAATAGAAATATTTGATGCATTTGACAGGTTGATCATTATGGGTGTTCTATTTGTTAATGCTGCTATTGAAAATGTAATGGAAGTGAAATGGCATTTTCTTTGTGATGATCAGTTAATGAATCACGTTGTTGTGTAGACAATCAAATTACTTGCTTCAAAATGATAGCTCACATCATATAGACATAATGGCATTTTGACTACGTGACAAAAACTTTATTTTTATCGATGATTTGTCATCAGTTGCCGATTTTTTTGCTCTTTTTTGATTTATTTTTGTTTACAATCATCTGTAAGAGTCTCTAGTTAATTTATTAAATTTGAAGTTTGAAATTTTGAGCTATATATATTGATTTTTTTCATATGCTTATATACATGTATATAGATAGATAAAATATATCAACTTTACCTAATGGTTCATATAAACGTCCTTTCATCAGTAAGTATCGTATAATATATATAACAGTTTTGTAAGCACTCAAAAAGAAGCTTTTCCACATCTTAAGGAGGAACCTCTACTAGCTGGATAAAATCATTTTTAAAAACTCGTCCGTTTCATACAGTCGTAGTTCAAAATTGTGCATTATTGCTTTCATAATCCAATGTTCTACCCACAAAGGCGGGAATGACCTAAGATTTATCTTCATTTTTCACATCTTTTCTTTCAAAATGTAATCGTGTCCGTGGGACATACCTGGCAATGCAGAATAAGTTGTCATCCAACTTTTAAAAAATCAATTATATTTAAACATTTTCTTG